TGCTGCAGCGCAGCCATGCTGTTTGATGAAATGTGCATGTCGGCAACTGCACATTTGCTCTCTCCAGTGCAGTGTGGAACTGTAGTTTACTTTTTGTTTGAGAGTTCATGTTTTTGCAGGTGGTCGACATGGTTCTTGATGATCTGAGGAAGGAGCACCCTGATGCGATTTCCGTGGTATGGGTGCGATGCAGCATTCTGTTCAGTTCAAGTATCACTAGAAAGATGTGCCAGTTAATTATGCAAATGACAAATGATGACTCACTTAAACTTCAAAGACAAACTTCTGTTGTGAAAGTAGTATCCACTGTTATTGATTGATGTAGCATTCGCACTGGGCTAAAACAGCTTGCTGTGCATAAGTGATGACTAGTTCTCCCCATCCCTGTGACAACATTTCAACTTTTCATGCTATTAGAAAGACCTCTTTGATCAAGGATCTTTAGGAAAAGAAGAGACTAGGAATGGTGGAAGACAGAATGCCCTTTTGGTACACATGTGTGGTTCTTAAGCATCACACTCAAATGCATTTTTACCAGAATTACAAAAAAATGGGTGTCCTATTGTTAATTGGTAACTGTATGGACTTTGTTATTTACACTTTGTATGCAACACACCTTTTCAGATCAGACTAAATGGGATGCTACATAATGACGACAACTGTGCTATGAAGGTTAGCAATTTTGGAAGCTCTAACACAGTTGGTTTAATTTCTGGTGTCAACATACTCTTCCTGTTTTCCAACCTTTCCTTATGCCTTTCCAAATTCTAAGACTTTTTCCTTAACAAATTGAGTCCATTGTGAACTCTTTTCTTGTGAATAAGTCTGCAAGACCCTAACATGTTAATATTAATATTTTTCTCTTTTGTGTAGGAAATTGCCAGGCAGCTTTGTTTGGAGCATCAGTTATCATTTTCAAAAATGGTACATTTGCTGCCTAGTTATTATTCTCTCTATTTTTTCTTTGAAGGTAATTTCATTGTAGATAGGCAGCTCTGAACTCTGATCTCTTCTCTTTTAGGCTTCTTCAGATGACAACACTGAGTTCATGATTGACATGTTACGGTGAGCTTTACTGAAATAATGCCATAATGGATATTTGTATATTGAGCCATAGTCTTTAGTTCATAAATTTTTTATTCGTTTCTGTTCATTTTTATATTCTCTTCTGCAGGGAGTGCGGACTAGCTCACAAGACAATACTATTTGTTCTAGAAGAGTTTGACCTCTTTGCTCAGGTCGAGATAGATAGCTGCCCTTTATGCTTTAACTAAACTGATTTTGTTTCATTCCCTTTTCATCTATGGCAGCTACTTAAATTCCAATAAAACCATTGTTTATGGCATAACATGCTTTATACTATTGCTATGGTCAGTTTTGACATGAGAAGATTACTTATGTTCATGTTGTTTTGTTACAGGGTAAACAGAGGTTGCTTTACAGCTTACTTGATGCAATGCAGTCTCTAACATCACAAGCTGTTGTCATTGGTGTGAGTTGCCGCTTGGTATGAACTAAGCTTCATCATATTTACTTGTACTTACCAATAATAAATAAACTTCAAGCCTGTCAGTTGTATATAATTGATTTCTTTTTTTGTGTTGAATGCCATTTGATTAGTATGTCTCTGTCAGGTGTCACTCTTGATTGGTCTTTCAAACAAAAAGATGTCACTCTTGATTATGTAGTAGTGATCATGCAGTAGCATATAAAGTAATCATAATGCAGTAGCATCACTTAGCTTTGATTAAGTTGACTGGCATCTTGGAATCTGAATGTGCGTAACAAATCATCATTTTACTTTAATTTGCAGCATATTGATGAAGTTATAATAATTGTTCAAATAGTTATAATCGTTGCTCAAATAATTATAATACTGTCTTAACAGTGGCGTTTCATTTTTTAGGATGCAGATCAACTCCTAGAAAAAAGGGTTAGATCCCGATTCTCTCATAGGAAGCTTTTGTTTATTTCTCCTTCACTGGATGATATACAACTGTATGTGCTTTCCCCAGACCCTTTAGATAAGAAACATGAAATGCCCTCGAATTCCCTTACCCAAGCCATCTTTTGGTAACTAACAAAATGCAGGTTGGTGGAACATTTGCTTATACTGGCCAAAGACTCAGGTTTACCAGCAAAGTATATCACCGATTATAACTCAAGACTTACTGTATCCTTTCTACAACCTGACTGTTATGGTGCATTTTAAAGGGCAGACCCAATGCCGGAGGCTCCCACATGAGTGGGGTCTGGGGATGGGAAAAACCGAGGCAAGCCTTCCCCCCACAAAATCTGCGGAGAGGCTGCTTCGAACCCACGACCTGGTGACTCAGTGAGACAGCTCTCACCACTGCACCAGGCCTGACTCAGTGATTTGTTATGGTGCATTTTGTTTAACTTTTTTCCTTTATCTCATCTTAGTTGAATACTTAGCTATTAATGGCATATAATCTTGTTAAATGAAACATAAGTGTTTGCTTCCTGAAACTAAAACATGGTAGAATTTAGCCACTAGCAGAATGGAACTGTATTGATGTTTTTTCAATCAGTTCCCTTGGGATTTTTTGTTCCATCGTGGAGAAACAAAACTACAAAAGGGTAAACAAATTAGGCCAAACAACTGCCAAAAGATTGCACAATGGAATTCTCTTATCCTATACGCTGCAGAGCATTTTTAGTGATAAGAAATTCAAAGGTTGTCTCAACTCCCTCATGGATGCTGATGCAACAACGAGCAACATTCTAAGATTTCTGTAGGTTTTCAGCAGCTTGTTGGTTCTTTCTTCATAACATCTATAATTAATCATCAATATGAGCTCAGCTGAATATGGACAAGCAATTCTTTCAGTTTCAGAGCTGTGTCATATATGGACGTGGAATCTGGATTCCCGTCAATAGAAAGCTTCCTAAAGGCCCTTTCTTCCATGCAGAGGCAACCCAAGATGGACAGCTTACAAGGTATATTTTGTTGGCTCGCCCTTAGTTTTAGAGTGTGTTTGTTCACTAAATGCAAAAGATGTGGATTTTCTTTGTGCACCAATTCTCTTCTGCACAGCACGAGAGCAGCCAACATGATTTGCTTGTTTTCTCACAAACTTGCTCATATTTTTGACATTATGTGTTAGAAAATCCTATTGCAATGTAGTGATGACATTTTAATGCAATGAAAACCTTGAAGCAGATCTCTCGATTTTGGAATTGTACATTCTTGTGTGCATGCACAGACTAGAAGATAAGGAGCAAAGCTCATACAACTTCACAAGCATAATGAAAGGTAGAGACTGCTCTCCTCCCTCCCCTAGTCCCCTTGTTATCAGAGACAGAAAAGTGAACTGAGGTGAACTGTCTGTCAGAATACAGATCCATACAAGACGCCTATAAGACTTCTGATAAATATGCAAGCACTGTTTGTTTTAGGGTAAGCACTACCATCACCGACAATCAGCGTGCCTCCTACCGCATTAGATATTCAAAACTTACACTTGTTTGTTGCAGGCCTTTGAGCATCTTTTGGATCGAGAGCTGATCAGTTTTGGTGACAACAGAGGGAGAAACCAGGCGCTTGAATACCGACCTGTTAAGCTCCTCATATCCTCCCGCGAGCTCGCTCAGTCCCTCAAGCTGAACACCACATGCCCTGTGAGTCACTGTCCATGTGATTGGACCTTAGCGATTTTTTTATATTATACTGTCTGTCATTATTGTTCTGTAATATCGTTTCCGTAATACATAAGTGACTGTCATCGTGTTACAACTTCTCGCTGATGGCAATCGTAATTTTGCTTTTGTAGGTTGTACTACAAAAGCTGTTTGATCGTGAAAGATACATGTAGAACCTCTTCTCAGCTGGCTGCGCTTCACCGACTTGAGTCGCCGCTTTCCTGTTGGCTGTTTCACTGGGCTAGTTTCGCTGTCAAGTTCATGTATGTGGACTCGGTGTCAGGTCGATGCGTTGTTTTGTAAAACGGCGATGGTATTGGAATCTGTCCACTGTTCGTTGGAAAGGTGTGGGCCGTGTGGCCAACTGCCTAGGCGCCTAGCTCGACTGCATCGCGTGAGTCGTGACCTGCCTGTCAGCGACTTGGCCAGAGGCCACAGGGAACTAAATATTTGTGCAAATGGTGCACTGATCGTGGGCTAACGACGTGATTTGCATCTCGCACAAGTTTAGTAGCGTGGTGATATTTTTGGTAGCTTTGAGATGCATAAGTTATCCGGAGTTTACAAAATTAATAAAGTAAAATTATTCAACCATAAATGTTTGATAAAAAAAACAATAACGAAATTGCTTAACCAAAAACCTTTAACCTGTCTGCAGGCCCCTAGACATCGTGTTCTTTGGCATAACCTCAAGTATTAGCCACATCTCTTGAAATCTAAGAGCTTGCAAAGATAGCTGTGATGACATACTAGATTCACAATGGATCTACTAGTAATCTGAAAGGACTAAGCTTTTACACTCGACGTAGATGCTCAGCAATCTACAGCTGAAGCTCCATGATCATAAACACCAATGTACATGTGTACATAGAATATGGTAGAAATGCTCTGCTAGAGTAGTTTAATGGTTCCATTGAACAAAATGCAAGTTATTTAAGAACGGCCCGTGAACCCTTCAAATTATAGGGGTACGTAATAATGGGCAGACTAAACTTTCATGGCAGACAATAGGGAAGAAACGCACATCTGGCGGAGTGTCAATGCGCATGGTGTAGATGGTCTCAAACGCTGTAGTCTTAGGGTCATAATAGCCCAATGACCGACCTGTGTTGAGCAAAATCCGTCCATCTTTTGGATCATCAACCAATGGCGTAGTGTTTGCTGATAAATTGTCAATTAATATATGATACTCCATCGACCGCATGCCAAAATCTTTCATCATCCATAGGTCAATCACGTTCCTGCTTTGGTCTGGACATGCAACACAAAGTGCACCTTGAAGCTGGAGAATGGTCGTATGTCCACTGCCGTGAATGCACGGTGGACCCTGCAATACTTCAAATTCGCCTGTTGAATGCCACTATTTCGCAACTCGCAGAAACTGGTCCGAGGTTAGGATCTACCATCAAGTAGATCTTGCCATCAACGAACGTGGGCGGCGTGCCAGCAATTGGTCTAGAAGGAGGGTCTATTGAATGCCACTGCTGTTCATTCAAATAACGCGTTTTACATTGCAGTTCGTAATGTCTTGTTTCCAGGTTCTTCTCTTTATAGATGATACGCACCAAGATATGCTTGTTAATCTCCATGTCGAACCCCAAACCAATGCGACCAGCAAAGAAGGTGCCGTCGTTTCCTTCAAGTGGCATGTGTTCATAATAACCTATAGTAGGATTGCATACAAAGCCCCAGGAATTGCAGCTTCCCACATTAAGGTCGTGGCAAAGCTGGGAGCATACAATACCATATACCGGCTGTAGTGCACCTTCACCCTCGCATTTATCCATATCCAGATAGACGCCGAAGCGAGGATCAATAACGAACTTGATCCGCGGGCTGCTTTTCATGTTTGCATGGATACCATGTGACCGGATAAAACAGTCACTCATGATCATTCCGTGCCACTCCCTGCAAAATCTCAACTCCATAACAGAGCGTGTTGGCAGCCACTTCAAGACATCAAACCAAGCTTTAGTTGTTGGCGATGACGAGACCATGTCGTCCATTGGTGCGGCCCACGGGCACGAGGCTCTCCTCAAATAGCCCTATTGTGGCTATGCCATTATCCTCACAACTTCCAATGATTGTATCATGCGGTGTGAATAAAATCTCTGGCACGCCACCACCCAGGTCTACTGCCAACACCTTGCAAGTGCCTGTCCCGAACATGATCTTTTTCCCACCATTGTTTGAGTGATCACTACAAGAAATGTGCCATCTTTTGACATTTCGTATATGTCATAATACATGCAAAATAAGTCACATATCACCATTTATGACACCAAGTTGACGAAAAATCAAATGTCAAAAGATGCGCGTCTTTAACGACAACTTGTGACGTTTAAGTGTTCAAGTCATAATATTATGACATTGATTTTGGACGTCACAAATGCTTATGACATGTATTTTTATGTCACAAGTTCTTAGACCTTGCCACGTAGGATGGCTCATTGATGTAGCCCAATCAATACAATCCTATACCCCGACACATCCATACAATCCCATACTCCAACGCATTCGTACAAACAATCCAGATTAACATATGTGGCCCAACAATATATTCCATTCATGACCAAATCAACGGGTTCACAAGTCATACATCAACATTTTATTACATTCATCACGGACACCAAACTAATATTGAACGAGTGACCTTAGTTACAAAGATGTTTCAGATAAAATAAACAGACGAAAATCTCACATCCCTGTCTCACAAGTGACCTTAGTCAACAAACTAATAGTTCAACAGATGGTGCTAGCAGCTAGTTGTTCTTGGTGTCAGGAGCATAAGTGAATACCTTAGGTAGCTGGAATTTGTCCATGTCCTGTAGACACAACACATACAACACATCAGAAGCAAACATCACTTGTTCAAACAAATAAAAAAAGTCAAAAAGGGACTTTACATATGTGTAAAGCCCCAAGAAATCAAGCAACAGCTTACATGATATATTTGATTATTTGTGCAGCAAATGTTGAGGTACAATAATCTATGCAGCCTACATGATATATTTGATTATTTGTGCAGCAAATGTTGAGGTACAATAATCTATGCATATATGATCTCACTACACCAACATCATCAATTCTTCGAACAAAACTCCAGACTACACCAATTAAGTGCACAACTAGTCCTATGTAGTTGTTCAAAACTGACAAGGTTATATTTAATTCGGTGTTAATTTGTCCTATGGTTAATTGATATTTCCATGTAACCAACTGAAAATATCACGCAATAGGGAAATTTTGGTTTCCAATAGTGTTATGTTGTCATATGATAATAAGGCACAAAGATTGTCACATAATGGAATTGGACAAGCTTTGGGACGTTTTTTGTGACACAAACTTGTTTTTGTCACAAGTTTTTCATGCCTCCACAAAAAACGTCATAAACTCATTTATTTAGTGACATTTTGACATGATGTCATGCCATAAACGTCATAGAATGACACATTTCTTCTAGTGGATATACACATAGTGGGGCAAACCAAATTGACTCCAGCAGCTTGCATTCAGATTTTGGCCAAGCTGTTCCATCAATGCAACATAGCTTCACCCACTACTCTTTGTTGCGATCTCTCAAAGCCCATATGTTGTAAAGATCTTCACTATCTGGACAATCTCCATGGCATAAACACAACTACCCGTTCAGCTCAGTCAGTAAGGGTTCTGCTATCTCATTCTCGAATAATATAGGTGGTGGTGGCAACGAACTGAAGGTATCATCGCTGATGTTGATGGTGGTGATGCCACCATCATAGCATAAGAAGTGCAGATACTCGTTTAAGAAGACAGCTGGGTTCTTCTCCTTCACTGAGCACAAGGGAGGGGGGTTAGCACTAGGTCTCTAATAACTAGGTGTGCCGAGGACGAGGACCTCACAGCCTGTCGGTGTGTACTTGTCATCCTCACCTTCATCAACTTCCAAGTTGGAGAACAAAGCACGCTACTTTATATACCATGCTCATTATACAGTAACCAAGGCCATATGATACCCTTACGTAGAAGGGTAATTTTAGGCCGCCAAGACTCGACCTTTGAAAAGTCATCTTCAACAGCGCCTCGTTGTCGAGGAGAGCTAGGGACTCGCTCGTGGAAGGGTTGCAAACGAAGTAACCACCACTATCAGTGGCCCAGATTAGAACTAGGCGGCAGTAGGGTTGGTGATGGGCACGGTCTCCCCTCTCCCAAAATCATCACGCATGAGCTTCTCGACTGCGCCACTACCACTAGGCCGCCATGAATATATGTAGCCGTCGTAGGAGGACCCTACCGGGGAGAGGAGCAACTATGGGTGTCCCGGCTTGTTGACAAACTGCGCGTGTAGGTCCATGAAGTTGTTCGATGAGAGCATGGCGCGCCACACGCGAGACAAGCATCGTCAGCGACCCACGGGCTTGGCCGATAGCCAGGTGAGGATCTCCATGAGGACCCATGTTGATGGTAGTTAACAAACATTATAAACCATCAATAGAACTTGAATAAGGGCATGAAAGTAATCACCAACATAGGTTTAGGGGTTTAAACTAACAAATTCGATGAGTTTTGGTGAATCTGTATTTTCTGCAGGGTTTAATCAGAAAACCATCAAGGTGGACCTAGATGTTAGAAGTAATCGCGCTTATCCGTGGTGAAAACAACTCTAGATGGTTCCAGAGAACACTAGAGGGCAATACACCGAAGAAGACCATGAGCCACTACCAGGTGGGGCTGGCCGGCCTACAGGGGCCGATCGGCCTATGGGCCCCACTATTAGCCTCCTCCTTCAAAGGTGGGTTCTCCATCGCCTTAGGGTTTGCATCCATGTCATCCTTTCAAGTTGGTTTGATCCGATGGCTCAGAATTAATGCTATGGCCTATAAATACTAGCCCTTACCCCCCTCCCTCAGGCAGAATTACATTTAGTCAAGAAGACAAAAACCCTAATCATTCTCAGAGCTCCACCATATTCTAGGACATAGCTAGCTAGGCTAGGTCTAGAGGAAGGCAAGCTTCGCTTGGATTCCAAATCTTGTCAAGAGCGTGGCTTGGTATAGCCCCTTGTATCTTCTTTTGTATCTTTCGTTATTCTTATGTTTGCTACAATTGATCTGACATTGTTCTTAATATTATTCATATTCCTAGTTATCATGTTCATCGTCTACTTTGATTATATGCTTAGTATAGTTAGATTATCATCATGTTCAAGCATAAGTTCGTATAGCGCTCGCTCTAAGGTACCAGGGGTGAGTGGTTGACATTGTGTAAGCATGGTGCTTATATGTTGTTTACCTACGGATGCACCCTATATTCCGGGCCATGTGGTAGATCACGGATGTGACACTCCCATTGAGTCCTTTGTAGTCCACTCCCCAAATATAGGACAAGTAGGGTCTAGTTACGAAGGAAGACAAACTCTGTTCTTAATTTTCCTTAGTAATATCCCTTATGTGTAGATATGAAGTTGATCTTAGCCATGACTACTAAGTGTAATTGCACTAATCAACGTATGCTTTGATATGTAGTTAAGAATGACTTAGAAATTATTCCTCTAATATTCTATCTAGCCATGCTAATGCCATAAAAAGGAGTACTCTGAGTGATCATTTATGATTACTTATCATATTTATCTCTTGACTTACCCCTGTTATGAGTAGAATATTGGTTATGGTTTATTTCTCCATCATTCATATAAGTTATCAATATATTCCAACTGTCCATCCTTCCCCATGGTAAAAATATAAATAATGATATCTGGAATACTCCCGGGTGAAGTGCTACAATGATATATTATCTGTGCGCTTGCAGATCCCTTCATATATATATATATTTATATTTATATTATTTCTAGTCACATAAAATATTAGAAGTCCTTCTTAGTATCATTCTAGTAGTGATGCTAGGTAGTACCAACAAGCATTTCTGGCATCATCGCTAGGGATGACAACTTAGTAAAAGTGATGCTAAGAAATGTCAATAAACATTAGGTGGCTACTTAAACAAGTGACAAGTTAATAAATACCAACAACCCCGTCAGGAAGCGTTAGGTTGTCGTGACTGCTGGCTGCCATGGTCCCCGGTGATCTGATACCACCTCCACGATACCAGCCTGCTTTGCTGAACGGTGGAATTGAATGACGCTTGATAAGGAGACACGACCGGTGGTGGGGCTCCTCAAAATAAGTAAGACAGGAAACAATACGACAATGCGATGGAAGGGGGGTTATTATTATTGAATCACGTGCACGTGTCGAGTCCAACACGGTAATATAATGGACTTGGATTAGGTCTTCAATGATCAGTATGTACATGAAATGGGCATCTAGTGCCCGGACGTCCGACGCGGGCACTGCGCCCGGACGCCGCTTCCCTTCCCAAACATGCTCGCCCCCCCCCCGCGTAGAATCGGATCGGAATAGAACGGAATGGAATTGCGTCCACCGTACCCCTATCCTTCGTTCCCCACCGCGCCTCTGCCCCTGTTCCCCCACCGCACCCATGTCCCAAAGAGCACGAAACACTTCAAGTGCAACATCGCAAACATATGGAAAAACTATGTAGTGCAACATCGGAATATAAATACTGCAACATCACAAAAATATGTAGTGCAACATCAAAAATATGTACTGCAACATCAAAAAATATGTACGGCAACATCTCAAATAGTAGTACTGCAACATCGCAAAATCAACCCATGAAACATGTTGTTGACACCAAAATTTGGTAATTGGGAAGAAAGCGGCTGGTAACGTAAAAAGAAGAAAATCTCCGATAATGACCATGACTCGAAAGCCGATGAGATATATACGATGGAGTCGTTCATGCTCGTAAATTAATGGGGAGCGAGAAAGGTCAAACAATGGCGCTTCGATGTGCCTACCATCTTGTTTGTTACGATACGTGATGCATTATTGGGCAACCGGCAAGGTAAATGGAAAAGGATGAGAGGCCAAGTGCTATACGAGCTATGCTTGACATGGATGCCAGCAAGATTAAGATCGCTTAACGAGGAAGGGATATTTTAATA